GGTGTGAGTGGCCAGCGCAGCTTCCCGGCCGGGCCGGCCGCCTCCCTCGCCCGCCAGGAAAGATGCCCGGGGTGTTACCGAGTGACAGCACCGGGCCTGCGAGAGGGAGCCCCTCGAAGAAGAACCGACTCTCGCTGAAGCTCTTCCAAAAGAAAGAAGCGAAAAGGGCGCTGGATTTCACCGAGTCCCAGGAAAATGAACAAAAGAGCTCCGAGTGCAGAGGCCCTGAGGTGTAAGTAAAAGTTTACCTCTCAGTAAGCGTTTGTGAAAGCAGCCCAAGAGCTCAAGGAGTCTGGTGCGATGAGTAAACTGCGCTGCTCCGTTTGCTCATTTAAGTTGTATATTTTTGTATAAGGATGTGCTTCAACACGTATTAAATAAACTCCTAAGCCGAGTTAATGAAACTGAACTAGCTGTTCACTATAATGAATCTCTGTGTTTCTCTTAAGGAAGTAAGTTTGCCATGCTGCAGATGCTTGTTGGCCTAAACTTTTTAATAACTTGAAGAAGTCAGCTTATTTGAAGTTAGTTAAGGTAGTTACTCTGATTCTGAATTATTTAAAGTATATTAAAATGTAGGGCTTTGCTAAATTGAGTTTTAATTAAACAATACTGGTTTTTAAAGGTTATTTCTGCTGCAATTAAGGAATCAATTGTGCTGCTTACTGTCGTTCATTAGGCTGTGTCAAGGTCTGAGCAAATCTGTCAGCTCCTTTCATTGCAGCTAGTGAGGAAATTTAAGTGGAAAAAAGAAAAATTGCCTAATCGTGGTCAATTACAAATGTGTTGGTGACTTTAAACTCTGGTTCTTTTGTGTCAGTACACTGCATTAATCACTGTATGTAATGTGCCAGGTTCATTGGTGGGGTGTTTTGTGTGTTGGTTTTTTTTTCCTTTTGGTTTGTGTCCAGAAATGAAGTGATGTGAATCTGGAATGGGGACAGTAATAGAAAATATGTGCTAGGAACTTTCTTAGCGCTGCCTTAGGAATGAACAAAGAACATACGGAAGTATTTTAAAGAGAACTTTTTTTTGATTCTTCGAATTGGTTGTCTCATATTTTTTTACAAAATATGTATTGGAACTTAAAGCAGATTTGCCTGCTTCTGGTAAATCTTGTTTGGTTTTGTGTGGGTTACTGTTGAGCTGTGTTTGGGTGCCCAGAGTAGCCATAAGGACACTTTCACAAACACTTTGACACGATTTTGATCTGTATTCATTAGTGTTAATTCTGTAAAGCTGGCTCTGAGATGGTAGCTGGCTGGGACAGAGATGTGCGTGCACACTAGGGAGAGTTGGTTTCAAAAATTGTCTCTTACGTGCTGTTTTCTCTATTTAATAGTGATCAAGTGGTTCCTGCGGCACAGCCTCCCTCGCTTGTTAGCTGTGAGAAAAAAGACAATATGTTGCCTTTTGTGGGCTTGAACAATCTGGGTAACACTTGTTACCTCAACAGTGTACTTCAGGTAAGATCGCGTGCTGAGGCGTCCTGGTTTCACTGGGATAGAGTTGCAGAAGCAGTTTTCTATTTGAGAAGGCTCCGTTTTTTAGAGGAATGCAGCGCTCGATTTGGTGGGAACAAAGTTGATAAGATGCTTTGTTTTAGTTTTGGCCAGCCCTGGTATGCAGGTGGCTGCAGTGATCAAGGTCTTTAGCAGTTTGAATTAGCCAGGTGCAGAAGCTGAGGGGAGTGAAAGCCAAGACAGCTGACCCAACTGGGCAGCAGAATTATCCCATACCATAAACATCATGCTCGTTACAAATTGGAAAGTTTGCTGGGAGCGGCCCTCTCTCTCCCTGATGGTCGTAATCCATGGAGGGTCTCGCCCATTACTCTGCTCCCAAGGCCTACTCCCCGGTTTGTTGTGACCATCACGTTCTCACTGGAGCCGTGGCGCTCACAGCGTTTGACATCCAGCATTCAGTGCTGGGAGCGCACAGCTTGCGGCTGTTACATGGGCTAAGTATAACCTTGTGTACCTAATTTTTTATTATTTTATTAAATCTCTTTTAATTTCAGCCCATGAGTCTCCTTTCTCAGTTCCATTCCCTGAGTGTGGGGGGGTCATCAGGTGAGAGAGCAACTGCTGAAAAGGAGACAAGGGGCCTCAAAAAGACTATTTCCTTTTGGTTAAGCACAAGTTGATGAGATCCATAGTTTGATATTACACAGAATGTGTCTAGATATAGTGTGAAGGGAATTTAATCACAGTGGGGAAAAAGATGATGCCACAGGAAAAGCGTGTGCCGTAGGTTGCCTTGATTGGGGTGACTTTTCACTTTGCCCACTCTGGGTACCTCCCTGCTGGGAATAATTCTGCATCTTCATGTGCGGTGCAGCAGCCTTGGGAGGTGCAGAGCTCGTTTGGTTCTAAGTGTGGATATGTACGAGGTGCTTCTTACTTTATCATTATTGTTTTAAACTGTTGCTTTCAGGTATTATATTTTTGTCCTGGTTTTAAAACTGGAGTAAAACATTTATATAACATCATTTCAAAGAAGAAAGAGTCTTTGAAGGAGGAAGGAGAGCAAAAAGCAGAAAAGGTAAGGTATCTCACTACACATTCCTTTACTGGTGACTTTGCAAGTGAGGCTGCACACCAGGAGTGTAGTGAAGATTTAACTCTGATGTCTTCTAATGGTAAGAAGTTCTGCAGTATTGTTTTCTACAGTGCTGTTTTAAGATACACTTTGAACTTGTGTTCAGAGTATCTGTAAACTTGTAAGCACGTCTTAAGACTTCGAGAAGGTATCTCACCATGTTTCTGGCAGTAAGATAATTATGATACAGTACTTTGAGTGGATGGAAATTGGAGTTTGGGCAAAGGTGATCTGGGTTTTTAAAGTAACGGATAGTCTGGCTTTGTTTTCTACTGGCAAAAGAGCGATCTGTTGTATGAAACTCACCTGTTCCCCATAGCGGACAAAAAAATCTGTCAAATGTCTGTTCAAAAATGAAGCTGGGGTAGGAGAGAAAGAGTTCAACTTCTTGTTACAGACAAAAATGCAAGTATTTTTACTCTTCTTATTTTGTTCTTGCAGGGAAATTGCAAAGAAGATCCACTGGCAAGTTATGAACTAATCTGCAGTTTGCACTCGTTGATTCTTTCAGTGGAGCAGCTTCAAGCCAGCTTTCTCCTAAATCCAGAAAAATACACAGATGAACTTGCTACTCAGCCACGAAGGCTACTGAATACCCTTAGGTATGAATAATCTTAAACGCATTGTCCAGACTTTCACGTGAAGTTTTTGAGGTCACTGTACAGCACAGCGTTGGAGACTTGTGGGAGGTAGATGGGCTTAAATTTGGGGCCTTTTTACAGGAAGTATATTTTTGTGTTTATTTTTTCCTCTACGTATCATAAACTTGAAAGTAAGTTTTGCACTTTAAATCCAGCAGTAGGTTTAAAACAGTGCTTAGCCTTACGTGTGTGAGTATTTTCATCATTCTGAGAAAGACCCTGCAGGGCTGCAGTTTCGGGGGCGCTTAAATGCGTAAGGCTGTAGCTGCCTTCCCACTGCAATCTGTGACAGAGAGGACTTCTCTCTAGGCCTGGAGAGCACCCTCCCCTGCTTTTAGATATAAACTCACTAATTTAAATCTCAAATCTTGTTAGCCAGTTAGCACAGAATGACTTTGTTGCTTTGCTCGTTTACTTTTACTAGAGAGCTCAACCCTATGTATGAAGGCTACTTGCAGCACGATGCCCAGGAAGTTCTGCAGTGCATCCTAGGGAACATTCAAGAAACGTGTCAGCTCCTGAAGAAGGAAGAATTGAACAAACTGCCCATGGAAGAGCCTGCAGCTAAACTGGAGGAAAAATTTGATCAAAATACTGAGATTAATGGAACAGGCAACCCTGCTGAGGAGGAGGACAGCGTACCAAGTGGCCGTGTTGGAAAGGTAGCTGAAGACAAGCTGCTCAAAGGAAACGGGAAAAGAAAAAGTGATGCTGAGGGTGGCAACGCAAAGAAAAAATCCAAAGTATCAAAAGAGCAAATTGCAGCAGCAGAAGAGAATCAAAGACAAACCAGGTCAAAGAGGAAAGCAACAGGAGAAAAGCTAGAAAATCAAACTGATGCCATCGCCAAGTGTTCCGGTGAAAATGAGAGCGCGAAGCCGACGCAGAAGAAGTCGCGGCTTAGATTAAACTGGTTAAAATCTTCAGGCAAGCAGCCTAGTATACTCTCTAAATTTTATAGTCTAGGAAAGTTAACTACAAACTTGGGATCCAAAGACCCAGAGAAAGAATACGATGACAGTGAGCTTGAAGAGTTGTCTGTAAAATGCAAAAATGGTAACAATATTAAAGAAGAATATCATGAACCAGCCTCTCCTGTGGAAAGCCATAATGAAAAAGGAACTGAGAAAGAACCTAAAAAGGAAGGTTGGTGAACAAGTGTATGGGCTTTAAATTGGTATGATTAAGAAATTGCTATGTGTGGGAAGTCAGGCTTCAGACTGTGTAGCAAGCAGAGCCCTCTAAATGCAAAATTACATCTCCAGGAATTGAAAAAGATTTTTACGAAAGAGAATTTATTTTTATACATGTTTGTTGATATTTTATTTTTTATAACTTGGCCTGTTTAGCTTAGATCTGAAGAGGTATTTCTCTACCATTATGTAGTCGTTGTACAATATTAAAAAATCAGAGTATTACCAGGTTTATGTTATTGCTAATTTCTGTCATCTGTAGTGGATTCAAGATGTAAAGGAAGATTACTGTCAGGAGCAAACGGAATCAAACCCCATTGGCTATGGCTTTGTGTCCCAAGCCTTTCCAAATACTGTCCTCTCCTTCCCTCCCTATTCTTCAGTCCTTCCGTATTTCCAACCTTCCCAGGAAGGGCACCAGCTGTATTATATTTGCTCACTGGCTGGCAGGTATGGATTTTGTTGGTGTCAGTGAGACAAGACACCTCTGAGGGAAGGGCCTTGTTGTGAATTCAGTAATTAGAAATTTGGACCCTTCTTTCTGACCCAACCTCCAATTTTAATAAAAAATGTGTGAAGGAATACAGAATATTTTGAGATCTCCATTTCTTCAGCAGACTTGACTAAAATTGGCTAATGAGTTCAGAAAGTATTGGAGGAGAGGACTGAGGATAGAGACCAGGCAAAAATACAAGTGTGGTGTCCCCAGAGCAGACTGAGGCAAAAGTAGCAAAAAAGGCAGCAGCGCGTTGATAACAAACACGAATTTTCCAGAATATGACACCGTTGTCGCACTTCACACGTAAAACAAGAACCTGATCTTAAACTAGAAATTACAGTTTGAGGGCCAAGAGCAAAGGGCTCCCTGTTCAGTAACAAGGAGATGATATTGTGGGAATTGTGTGATAAGCAACTTTTTTTCTTTTTAGTAGTTATTATTACTACCATGTCTGTGAAAGAGTGATTTTGGGATAAAAATAGCCAGATTCTGAAGGTGTCTTTTGAATAAAGTGAATAAAAGTGATGTGGCATGTGCTTCCTCTAGGTACAGAGCTAGCTGTTCTTGAGCTGGTGGAGAAGCTGTTCCAGGGCCAGTTGGTGCTGCGAACGCGGTGCTTGGAGTGCGAGTGCTTTACTGAAAGGAGAGAAGATTTCCAGGACATCAGTGTTCCGGTGCAGGAAGATGAGCTTTCGAAAACTGAGGAGAGTTCTGAAAGTAAGTAATTATGGACAGGGCCTGTGATGTGAGGCGGTGCTTCAGGCAGCCGCTGAGGAAGGACGGTGCCGTAGCTATCGAGGAACGCTGCTCCTGTTTGTGCTGGTTAAAATTCGAGGCTGTTCTGTTCTCTCTTGTCCTGATTAACTTCAGACTTTGGAAACACAGCGCTGATAATGTAGACAGATCCCGACAGCGTGAAAATTGTTTTGGGCTTTAACGCATAACACAGACTGCTTACAGTCCTTCACTTATGTACGTGATTCCTGGCTTACAAATAGCTGGTTGATTTGGGTCTTCCCTTTCTTCCTGGAGAAGAAATTCTTCTGCTTTTTTATTCATTTTATAAGAAATATCTGCTTTGGTTTTTTAATAAAATAAATGAGAATCCAGCTTTTTTTACTTTAAAAAAAATACATATTTTTTCAGTTATTTAGACTGTCAACGTGGCAACAACAATGGCAGCTGACATGGCAGCAGTAAATTTTGGAAATCCCAAATTTTAAAGAAATGAACTTGAGTTCCCTTGGACTGAATTTGGAGTAGCCTTTACTATTTTTGCCCTCCCTGTTTTGCCAAAGGACATTGGCGTTAAGCGTGCTCGTGGTGGTGTCCATGTGTAAAATGCTCCCGACAGCGTTGGTGATCTCAGCAGCAGCGTGAAGCTGTCACGGGAGCAGAATGTGAAAAAGTGGAAGGGAACTTTCTGGTTATTTTGGAATTTTGCCTTAATGAGTGAAATTTCCAAACTCATGCGCTCAGTTTCCACACATAGCAACAGAATTGGTGCGTGTGATCTGAAGGAAGTTTGGGGAAAAGCATGGATTTTAAGTAATAAAACCACTTCCTGAAGTCTTTATCGCTTCCTGAAGTGATTCAGAGACTTGAACACATTTTCTCTTTCATATATATTGAATGTTCTATCAGCACTGTAAAGTACTTTTTGAACGTGTCTTAACTCGACGTATTTTGGTTTGTTGTTGTTCTGGTGGGATGCATTGGAAATGTAAATAATCGCATATCTGTGAATGTAATGATTCTCTTTTGTAGTTTCTCCAGAGCCAAAAACAGAAATGAAGACTCTAAAATGGGCAATTTCACAGTTTGCGTCAGTGGAAAGGATTGTGGGAGAGGATAAATATTTCTGCGAAAACTGCCACCATTACACAGAAGCAGAACGCAGCCTTTTATTCGATAAAATGCCTGAAGTTATAACAATTCATTTGAAGTGCTTTGCTGCTAGTGGCCTAGAGTGAGTATGCGGATTGACTGTATTGCGAAACAGCGCGCTGGTGGAAGGAAAATCTGGTCAGAAGAAAGTGTTTTGTAACTCTTCCAAAAGCAAAACCAGGTTTCTAGATGGAAATTAGCCTAAATCTGTGGGACGCAGCCCCTCATTGATCATAGAGGCTTTGTATTGTTACAGGTAGAGTCAGAAAGTACCTCCAGGAAAACAGACTTTCAGGAGACTTCTTAACAAAACTTGTGTTATCTGTATTCTCACAACAGCCCGATACCCTGATGTTTCTTAAAGTGTTATTTACTTTTCATATGACCTGTGTGAGTGTAGAGGCAGGTTTAAGACTCCAGCAGAACAAGCATGAGAGCAAAACTGAATGTGGTGATCTCAGCTCGTAGTACTTGGTCTCTGACTGAACGTGAGTGCTGAAATTCGGGGGAGGGGGTGGGAATCAGGAGATAAACGTTTTTAAGATCTAACACACAGTACAGCAATCCTTTAAAATACAGTAACACGTGTCATTCGTGTTCGACTGCTGAGCAATCGGGTTGATGTTATATACTGTAGAAATCCTGATTTTCTGAACGAGAGTATTCTTATGAGAGTGTTCTTTACCTTTTCTTCATAGTTGGGAACTTAGGGGTTTTCGTTAGGAGGGGAGAAATAGGAAAACCCTGTCCCTACAGTAGTGTACACAAATGAAACCGTGCTGTGACACTTCGTGCACAGCATTTTGCAGTACATGAGATTCAAATAATGAAAAATGACAGGAGGCTTCAGCAG